ATCCTGGGCCAAGTCACTGAATCTCTTTAAACCTCAATTTTTTTTTATCTGTAAATGTGAATAATGGTACCTTTCTCTCTGAGCTGATTTGAAAATTAAATGAGATGATTTTCAAAAATCACTTAGTACAGCACAGTAAGTGCTCAATAAAATGTTCCTGTTACTAGGTAACTATCATCCCTTCCAACTCCCAGATTCCATGATTCTAACTTTGGTACAATGAAACTTCAGACAAATGTGAATTCTAGCTATAAACATTTAATCAATAAATTAAACCTTCATTTTTATTTCACAATATTAAAATAGTTTTTTTAAAAATACATTCTCCATCCCATTAGAAAAGATATTAAAATAATATCTTCTTCCTATTGTTGTTATAGAACTAAAACACACAATGATAAAAATCTAGTCTATTGTTATTCATAGTATTAAATCCAAAACTGATTTCTATTTCAGAACCAAATGAAAGCAGAAAAATGTAACAAAAAAGGAAAAGTGCTAAAAATAGAGCCATAAAAAACTGATTCTCTTTATTTAAAAAATATTCTGTATGTTTTTAATGCACCTTTCAGAAAAGACATGGAGCCAAAAATGGCCACTGTTGGTACTTGAACAGGTCTACAATTTCTTTTAAATCAAGTAGAATATAATAAATTGATCAATAACAGGCTCTTCACTTATTCATTATTACTCTTCTCCAAAGATGGCTGCAGGTCTTTACTTTTCCAATTCTAGTTTTCATTTTGTTGGAGAATAAGAACCTTCTCTAACCTTCAACATTCTGATGCAAAAATAAGCCCTAAAAACATTATGTATTTCTCACTTCTTCCCAGATATATCTGTCCAATATCTATTCATTCCCTTTTCCTTAATTATAAGAATATAATAATGCATAGTACATAATAAATAATACATTATTATAGATTTTAGGTTTCATCTCCTACAAAATAATTTTTTTTCTTTTTCTTCCAGAAGGAGTCACTATACCCTGTTTATAGAATGATCACTTTCCTCAATCTATCTTTAAAAAAATGTACATACATGTACATAGAGGTTCTTCATTATACTAACAAAATAAGTTTACAGACACATTAAAATCCATTGTATATTTTGGACAGTGAAAGCAATCAGGTTTTGAGCTTCATAGTTAGCTGACTCCTGTAAAGTTATTCTAGCCGGCGTTTCAAACTAAATTTTTTTCCTTCAATATGGTAGAAACTGCCTCCCTAGATTTAGAAATCTAAATATAGTAGCTTGTCAGCAAGTTTTCATTCCCAATGGTGAGGCTATGCGTTTGTCTGTGGGTGTCTCTCTCGCCGTTCTCAGATTGAGGGCGTTTACAAAGGAAAGGGAGAAGGAATTGTGACTAGGTAGCAACATGCTCTCATTTTTATGCATGGCTTACCCTGTAACCTCGGTTTTCCTTTTTGCTGTGCACCTGGCCAGGTTTTTATATGCTTCTAGATCTCTTTGTAGTTTTCACCAAAGCATGTCCCAAACACGACACGCACCATGGTTATTGCTTCTCATCACCGAAGTTACGGGTGGATGAGTCAGACATGTATCTTTCATAATTGTACGTTTAGGACACTGCTCTGGCTGGAGGTGGAAGACAACAAAGTTTGAATATTTGAACAGTGGCCTTTCATTGCCTAATAAAGATAAAATTCCAAAAGCCTACAATAATATCACTACAAAGAAAGTTAAAGAATATCTTTTCTTTCTGAAGGAAGGCCTTAGCAATCTCACCAGCAACTGAAGACACTGACTTTATATTTGTTTCATTTGTCTACTTATTAATAGTGTATTTTTCCAATGAGATAATAAGCCCCACGAGGGCAGGGACTGTGCCTGGTCGCCACTGCGTATTTCCCTTACAGCTTAGCACAGTGTCTTGCTATTTATTACCTTCCAATCTCTAAATAAGTATTTGTTAAAATAATGAATAAGTAGTGTGTCAAGTGCTACTGTTCTCTATAATGGTAAAATCTAGTTAAGCAGGCTATAAAGTTTACTTAAAATTTTAATATCTTTCTAACCTTCTCTTTAATTTCACAGGAAATATATATATATATATATATATATATATATCTTTATTTTTCAAGGGAAGGAAACAAACATTCACTGTGTTCACTATACATCAGGCACTCAGGCACATACTAGATTCAATGCTTGCAGAAACTCATATTTAAATATTATCTCATTATCCTACAATCAATTTTTAATACATAGACACATCTATTTTGTTTTTCATGCAGGAGTCGAACTGGCAGCCTTGTTAAGAGCGCATACTCCATCCACTGAGCCACCTGGGTGGCAGCTCAGCTCAAGGTGCCCAGTTCAGTCTGAGCAGTGGTAGGGCGTAGCCCAACAGGCAGTCTTGTCATTAGGAGCACGTGCTCTCACCAGCTAAGCCATCCTGCCACCTGTTGGCAGCTCAGTGGCAGCTCAGCTCAGGCACAGCTCACTGGCCCATGTGGAAATTGAACCGGCGGCCCTGTTGCTCAGAGCTCATGCTCTTAAACAAACTCTTAACCAACTGAACCACTCGGCCGGCCCTAAACACATCTATTTTTACTTCTACCACTGATAGTGTCACTTTGGGAATTCTTTTAACTTTTATACCCAGAACTAAAAATAAAAATCTGTGAAGTAAGAATTTAATATTATTAATACAGCTAATTTCTTTCTTATGGGGAACCATTATAGAACAAAATTTTGCACTTTAGAATTTTCCAGATAATAGATTTACCTCTTTCAACACTAATTTTTAAAAACTTTCAACTTTTTAATAAGAATATTTTTAAACATACAATGTGTATCTATATGGTCTTAACCAAAGTGTTTAAAACGTGAATCCGTTTGTTTTTTTTAATAACTCAGATAAGGACAATGGTAAGGATAGTAAAGTGGTTAAGAGCAGAGTTTTTAGAACCAGATTGTGTAGGTATAAATCCTGGCACCACTATGTACTTGCTATGGGGTCTTAGATAAGTTAACTTCCCTTGGTCTCAGTTTCCTTATTTGTAAAATGAAGATTATCCTAATATCTACTTCTAGGGCTGTTCTGAGGATTAAATGATGATATATACAAACTGCTTACTTGTAGAACATAGATATAAGGCACATAGTAAGTGCTCAATAAATGTTAGCTAAAAAGTTTTACTTTATTAAGCTCTTAGGGGAAAGTTTGGGCCATTTCTGTTTACAATACAATATGGCCCCAGACTGCTATGTTTTTTGAGTTCCTATCTAAATTTTGCTTTATTTATAGATTTTGTTTTCTATATAAATTTTTAATTATTTTCCTGTTTCCTCCCTCAATGTTATTTGATTATACCGCAATTGATGCCTTTACAGTACTTCTTCTAATTTGATACTTCTCTCTACTGTGAGCTGAGAAATCAAAACACTATACTGTAATGGTTAGAAATTTTTAAGATGAGAAATCCCCAGTGAGGGCCTCAGGGGCTTTCCCAGGAATAAGGTGTATAAGTGTTAACACAGGACTTAGAAACATCTATTTCTACTTAGAGGTCTTTCTGGATTACTTATTGTGTTCTCAGCTGTGTTTGGGAAAGTTGGAAATACCAACTAAGCAACTTAAGGATTGATGAGGTACTATTGTTCTAATTCTGTCAAGCATTGGATAAAAAATAACAAAAAAAACAAAAAAAGAAAGGCTTTTTTAAATGTTTTGCACTGTTAATTTTCTATAATTATTAATCAGCTACTAATGTAATTATTAAGCTCCCAATCCAAACAATGTTTTTCGTGTAGTACCTGAACCAATATACAAATCTCACATTACAAGGCCCGATTTCTAAAACTTGGGTATTACTAATTGTGCTAGTATACGAAGCTCAAGCAAAATAAAATGCTTCTGTGTGATTGAATCCATAGTTCTGATGTGGAGGTTATCAATTCAGTGAAAGGGAGACAATATGAATTGCCAAAAGGGCTAAATGGAATAAGAATGGATAAATTAAAAAGAGAAGGGAAGATAGGGATTAAACACTCTTGGAAAATGCCAACGTCATAGGGAAATTTGGAAGAAAACTAAATCAATAGATTACAGACTAATAAAGAGAAATAAGGAATAATCTACCAGCTTTACTCCCAATCCCTAAGTGAATAATATGCTTCCAATTTAATATTCGGTTTAGTAGCATCTCTACCTTCTTCCCCCACTGCAAAGGCACAAGAGAGACTTTGATAAGATAACCGTGTGCATCAGCGATGATCAAACCTTCTGTTCAAGTGGCCAGATGCCAGCAGAGACACAGTGAACCCCCACCCTTGGGATATCTGAGTCTGAACCAGAAACCGACAATCACCAGGTCAAAATTTTTATATTCATGCATCTTAAAAATTCATGTATATTTTGCACGCCACCGCATTACATACCAATGTGTTTTTAATATAAAAATAATATTTATAACAGCTGAATTATTTAACTCCTCCCACTCCCAAATCTTCCAGTAAAACTGACGCTCCAGGAAGATTTGTAATGTGGTTCTTGCAGGTTCTCCTTAAACAACACCAGTGTGGTCAGGGGTTTGTGAAAAGTATGGGTAAAAATGATAGTATAATACGATGAGCTCACAAAAATTTCAAATAATCCACAATAATTAAACAAAAGCTCTAACTCTCATGCAATTCAGTGAAGCTAAGAAATCTGAAAGAATGGGAAATTGGGCCCTACACTCTTAAAACGTGCTCTTAGCTTTTGAGCTACAGTTCTTAGGAAAAGATCAATAATGATGTCTTCTTGCTCCAATATGGAATTAGTGTTTTCCTAAATACATTAACTTCAGAAGTATTACATTACCCAGGAGGAGCAGCACCACAATGAAACAAACAGTTATTCTTTGCAAACCAGTGATCACCAATACGGAGAACCCACAGAAGGCTGCTTGATTAAAATGACAAAGGGCAATGACACCAAGACAAAAAGTAACAAAGTATGATGACCCAAAACCAAGAAAAATGACACTCACCCTCATCCTGATAATCTGACAAAAAAGGTGCATCTGACGTGAGAGAAGGGCCCTGAGTTCCACTGTAATTATCATCGGAGCTGTCCTGTCCAAGGTAATTTTCAGCTTGGTCTCCCCCTGTGGGACAAAAAAGAAAGAAAATAAGGTCATACATACTTTGGGCATCTTTATAAAGGTGTTTGTATATTTCTTCTGGTGTTCACACACACACACACACACACACACACACGGATACCTCTTTTACTTGATGGATATGGCTGTTGCCATTAACATATGAGGAACGGGTAAAGAAGTTCAAAAACCAACTCACCTGGATGGGAAATTTTCCACTCAACTAACTCTCTAAACTATAACTTAGACACTGTTAGGTTAGAGTGGAGAGAAGGGCCACCAGTGAGAAACTGCTCTATCACACTTTAAATGAAAACATAGTATTAATATATAAATATATATTCATATATACTATGTCTCCATTAATTGTGACCTTTACCCTGAATGCCTCTTTCTCTTTATATTTCCAAATGAAATAGACTAAATTACACAAAGAGTTAACCTTCTATACCTAATATAATTTAGCAAGGTCAATATTCTTTCCTGTTCTGAAAAATAAGAGAAGTAAAAATAGAGAGAACCTGGACTTTGCTGGGTTCTAGTCCAATTTCAATCACTGATTGTTTTGCAATCTTAAGGAAGTTCTCTCTTTATAATTCTAGTTTACAGCCTATGCAACCAACCTCTTAGGAATTCTAAAAGCCCTAAAAAGGTAATATTTGCTCTGTAAAATGGCTTTGATGAAAGGTAATGTATATACAATACTGAATTATGCAATTGGAACAATGCTAATCTCTTGTGGGTGTTTTCAACATACATTGGATTATATTTTGTAGAAGTGGCCCATGCTATTATGATACTTTAAAAGATTCAGACAGAAGATGTCAGCTCATTCAGAAACTGGAAGAAAAGTCTCTGCATTGCAAATGGCTTGCCTTAAAATCTCCCAAACAGAGGTACAGTCTGCGGATAAAAGGGCAGCAACAGCTGCTCCGTTCATTTCACAGACACGAAAAGAGGACTTTCAACTGAATTTCGTATTATCTCAAACACTAATTTCCAAAGGAAATCACCAATGCTAATCTCAGTAAACACTGTAGAGTTTTGGCCCTGGATTTCAACGAGGGAGTAGTGAAACCAAACAACCTACATAGAATCTGTATTGCCTCACTTTAAAGGTTTATTCCCTACAATTAAGCTAGAAGGAGAGGGAGGATATAAAATGATAAAAAGAGAATGGCTGTAGCCTTCTCTCTCCATAAATTAGATAATCACATCTAGACTCTTCTACTAGCAGTGGTAAGTGGATGTCCATAACTGAGTTGAACACCTGCAGATACAGAACTTTAGAAATAAACTGTGGAGTTTATTGTGGAGAAGAAAAGTAAAATAAAAAAAACAAAACAAAACAAAAAGAAACAAAAAAAACCTTCACACAACAGTCACTGGCCTGAGGCAGAAGAAATGCTCTCCTTTATTAGGTTACTGATCAGGATACAAAGCTTATAGTTATGTTTAAACTACCACTGTGAAATTTCCATTATTACCAGAAAAATTCTCAAATACTGGACTGAGGGTTAAAGTACTCAAACTTCACATCACTGCAAATCCACTGAAATTATGTTATCAACACGATCTAAATGGACTGCCTGCCAGGTAAGCTGAAAGTGAGCTGTGAAGTTAAAGCAATTTAAACATTTTGAGCCAAATAAAAATCCATTTATAAAAAGAAAAAAAAGTAGTAGTTTGAGTTGCCACACGAATCTTAACATTCGTAGGATATACTGAACATTATTTATCAACTATCATTCTAGGCTCACAGTTTTCTGCTTGCTTCAGAAATCTGACAAATCTACTCTTACACATTCTAGCATCCTAGGTTTCTTCTTTTTTAATAAGCAGATCAAGACGGGCTTTGCTTTGTTTTGTTGTTTTTTCAATGAACTTGTTATTTTGGAATAATTTTAGATTTACTTGTATTATAAGTATTTCAAAGATAGTACAGAGAGTTCCTGTACACTCTTCATCCAGTTTCCCCAATGTCAACATCGTACATAACTAGGATGTACCTGTCAATTCAAGAAATGAACACTGGTACATCGCTGTTAAGTAAACTACAGACTTTTTTTGGATTTCCCCAGTTTTTCTGCTGATGTCCTTTTTCTGTTCCAGGACCTACTCCAATTGCATTTAGAGCTTCCATTTTTAAAGTCTCACCCAAAATACCTGCCTGGATTTGGCATTTGATTTACTAACCTCAGATAGAAAAGTCACTTCCATGTGATTCCTATGGTTTCTGAACTTAATTACCCAAGGTGGGCTTTTAACAGCCAAACGCCAGACCATGTCTCCATAAACCATATAACAACAAAGGTACACAACTCAATGCAGCAAAAATAGAGCTAAAGTCAGTACTAAAAACGGCTGAGGAAGAAACATTTGAAAATATGTTTTACATCCAAGCATAATTAGTTCCTGATGATGGAAATGTTGCTATAAGTGTTTTTAGTGTCACATCAAGTGGCCCAACTCCCTTGGGCACACACTGAAAACAGCCTCTAACACTATATAAATAGACACTCCCGTGTCATTAAAATGATTACAACTACTCAAGATGCATGGGTGAAAAGTTTTATAGAAGAACCAGCAATTACTGTGGTCATTTTGGATTTGTTTAAGTTTAGAACATCCTTTTTCCTTAAAATATAACCACGAGTGATCTCTGGATTCATCTACAGCTCTGACAGTCACAGCTCCAAGTGGCCAGTGCTATAGTCCAGTGGGATCAGACATAAATGATCACAAACTATAGTGACAGACATTTGCACTCAGCAGCTGGACAATTAGGGCTCAGAACTCCATCTACTTAGAGTGGCTTTCTCACAAGCAAGAACCCTTGCCACTAGAGACACACTTTCCCATTGCAACTCGCTCAGAATCAATATATTTCTATACAGATATATATTCTAACACACAATATCTCCATTAATCACATCCACTGCCTGCAGTCCCTTCTCTTTGTATTTCTAAACAAGATCTGGGGGAACTATATCAAGGGTTCACCTGCTATTAGCTGGTAATTTGCTCCTGTATCCTAAGTGTCATAAGAATTGGGCGCTAGATACACTCCTTAGTATATTCAATGTCAGGCTCTCCACCGAGTATTGTGCTGAGGGGCCTATAAGGGGGATATTTCTCTATTGTTCTTTCCTGAGAGTCAAACTCAATTTCATTCATGCTCTGCAGAGTGATAAGTTGGGAATTTCTGAGGGTTGGAGCAGAAAGATAAAGCAGCTTTGTGTCAGGTGTAAGGTAATTATTTGCCTTGGTTTCTGTGCTATTTGTTTTTATTCCCTGTGTTTTCATTAACAGTTAATGAGTTTTCCCCCTTAATTCTAAAACAATAGCTTGGCCACTAAAGGTTGGCTTTTTCTGCCATGGATTCAACCAGCTGTTGCTGCTCCATAAACTTTATGGAGAAGTGAATTAAACTGCTAAAAACTTTCATTTCCTAATTCAATTCCAAATAAAACAGGGGGGGAAAAATGAACCATGATGATGTTCCCCTTGTAACTATTTTGACTCGCAGCAAACCCATCTGATCCTGAACTTGCAGGTACTACCAAGGGACAAAAATAGGCCATAATGATAATTTTAGCAAAGAAATGAGAAGGAAATGAAAAAAGACAGAAAGCATAAAAATAACATGAGAATAACAAATAACAAATAAAATAAATATATATTTACTTATTTGATATGTAAAGGCTCAGTTGTGTTTTTTTATATTAGTATAAAGTCTGTCTTTTACTTCTTTTCTAGTTAATTGTGAGCTATATTCTAAAGGATTTATTCACATCTGCAACCGTTTATATGGTATGGTTCAAAATTCTATAGGGTTTGCTATTACCTCATCAAGTATCTTTGGGTAATATAAGGAAATTGAAGTTAATGTAAAATTGTCCACAATTTTCGGGGTTTTGTCTTCGTTGTTGCCGTTGGAAGGAAACACATGACTTCTGACTCTATTTAATATTTAAGAACCCATGAGACATACAGCTCTCACTTTAAAATAATAAATCCTAAATAAAATGCTATGAGGAAAGGTCCCTGATCCAAATCCAGTTAGTTTTCATGCTTGGTAGTATTAATATTGCCAGATTTTCATGGACCAATTTAACAGTAATGCAGTTCCCAAAGCTGAGCCATGGTAAGATTAGCAAAACTGCAGCTTATTATTTCTTATTGCAGCCATTCACCTAAGTTTTTAAATATAACACCAACTAAAGACATATGTTGGGTACATATGTGCCTATATATGTGAAATGCTAGTCACATGTAAATATATTATGGAGCACATTTGCAACACCAAAGCTAAAGTTCTGTCAACACTTCCATTATAAATTACATACCCTTTTGCACATACTCATGTGTTAGAAAATGTATGATGTTTCCCACAGAACATCTTGGAGGCTTCACTGGTTTCTAAATACCCATTTGGATTTGCGTGGTTAGTTCTTGTGATTAATCCATATGTAGTGAAGGTCTCAAATTCTTCTCTGTTCTATACAGTCTGACTTCCTGCCCATCTCTTTTTTTTTCCCCTCCTACATCTAGCCATAACTCAACGTATAAATATTCCTTTTTACCCCCAAGGCCCTGGCAGTGAACGTAATAGTACTGAATGTCATTAAGTCTACAGAACAAATGATGGGCCAGGTAAAGAAAATGTCCATTTATCATTCTTTTAAAAAGTTGCTCCAACTACATTTTGAATGTGCAAGAAATATATTGAGCCTAAAACTAAGTTTTTAAACTTAGAATACTGTTTACTAGTTGTATAATTATGCTAAGAATAACAGACTTCTTAAGAACCTTTACGGATGCCATTTGCAGAGTGTAGCACAGTCTAAATAATCAGAAATGGAGCCAAACTGAGCAGACACTTACAGCACAATCGCTACAACACCTATGACTCCAATAACCAAAGGGGCATCATAGCGTAATAATATTTCCAAAATGAGCTACATCTGTCTGTGGTGGGTTGGACAGGAAGATGCCGGTGGAAG